GGGGGGGGCGCTACTGAGGATTGAACTCAGGACCTTGCACTTGCCATTCCAGTGCTTATTCTACTGAGCTATCTCCCCAGCCCCCCCCCCACGTTTTCTTTATACACTCATCTGATGATAGGCATTTGGGCAGTTTCCAAGATTGAACTATTATAAATTGTGCTGCTATAAACAGGGGTGTGCATACATTGCTGTGATCAGATGCATTTAACTCTTTCAGGAAGATACTTAGAAGGGTAATAGCCGAGTCAAATGGAGCCTCTACTTTCAGAGGGTTTTTTTTTTTTTTGAAGAAACTCCATACTGATTTGCATATTGGTTGTGTGAATTTACACTACCACCAAGAATGAAGAGGGTTCCTTTATCCCTGTAGCCTTGACAGCATTTGTTATGGGTTGCTTTCTTGATAATAACCATTCTTCTGCAGGAAGATGGGCTCTTGGTGTCATCTTAATTTGCATTTCTTGAATGTGCAGTGATGTTAAACATTTTTATTATATTTGTTTGCTGTTTATATTTCTTCATCTGAGAAGTATCTATTCATTTCAGATGCCCATTTTTGCATTGGGTCTTTAGATTTAGAGGGTCCTTTTTTTGAGTTCTCTATATAGTGTACATGTTAGTCCTTTGTCTGAGGAAGTGTTGGTAAAAATGTTTTCCCATTCTGAGGGCTGTCTCTTCACTCTGTTGGTTTCTTTTGCAGTGCACAAATTATTTTTTATTTTATTTTAAATTAAAAAAAATATCTATTTATTTTTAAGATTTATGTATTTATTTGGTACAGGGTCTTGCTATGCAGCCTAGACCACTAGTCATCTTCCTGTCTCAGCCTCCTCAATGCTGGGATTACAGGTGTGTGCCACCACACCTGGTTTCAGTGTCTGTCTTGGTGCAGGGCCGGCACAGCATGCAGTACTAGGGGTTGAATTTGGGTCCTTGTGCTTGGTAGGCAGGTGCTTAGACCCCTGAGCTATTTCCCCAGCTTTTCATTTTTTAAAGAAAGTACAAAATAGTATTAAAACCAAAAAAATTACAAATGATACAGAATTTCACTAAACAAAATTATATGAATTTCACAGCATTTGATGTATTTCATAGTGTTGTCTTCAAATTAGTTGTTCATATTACCGGATATGCACATGCAAAATTGGAAGGAGAAAGAAAAAAGGAAAAAATATAAGAAATTAAGAAAA